TTTATTTTGCATTAAACATAAGATAAATTTATATTATGTTAAACACAAGATGAATTTACTTTATGTTAAACATAAAATGAATTCATTTTGTGCTAAAATAAATTCATTTTGTTAAGTTCATTCTTGATGTGAAACAAAAAATTTATCTCTCCATATCTACACAAAATCAATATAATGTCAGTATAGATAGAGCTGCTTATTAAACTGATATCTGGATATATCGACAATTTTTCCATTGCTAGAGAGTGTCGATATAACCAGTATGATATGTAGTATATATAGTTGCATAGCAGTGCAAGAACTTAATAGTAGAATTGAATTTAAATACAATATAATTACAATAATAAAAAGTAATTAGTAAAAATAGACTTTATTTTAATAAAAAACTGAATACAATTTTTTAATCATAAAAGTTAAAATATTTTCTATTTTTTTTAATAAAAAGAAGTTCATTAACTATATCAGGTTTAAGCCTATTCCTTTCATTTGTTATTTGTTTACCCACATCACTAAAAAGATGTTCACAAGGAACAGATGTTGAAGGAATTCCTAAATATTTTTGAGATATTTTAAAAAGGATAGAAAAATTATTTTTATTCTCCCTCCACCATTTAAATGGATCAGCATTACTGTTAGCTTGCGATATCCGAGTTCTGTCAAGATAATAATCAATTTCATCTTTAGAAATAATCTTATTATCATTATCATCAAATAAATGTAATTTAAAATTACGATTATAATTAATTGTTCTATCTTCAAAAGGATTATCCCGACTATTACTAGATTTTTGATTATTCTTATTTGTAAATAAGACGTATTCTGATCTTAATAAAGAGATTGCTCTTTCTTTCTCATTCTCTGTCTATCCTTTCATTTTCTTAAATCTAGGACCTAAAAGACTTGCAAGTAAAGCTGAATCTGGCAGATTATCAAAATATTTAAAGAGAGCATTGTAGATTGTATTTTTAACCAATTTAATAGTTTTATCAATATTTGGTCTAGTAGGTTCATCTACTTCTTCACTATCGGTATCATTATTAATGCCTTCCTCTTCAGTTTCTTCTTCTACAGTTTTGTCCTCAGTTTCTTCATAATCTGATGCTTCTTTTGTAATATCTGTAATTATTAAATTAATATATTATCTAATAAACAATTTAAAATGAATAAATAAATCATACCTTCGTTGTCTTCTTCCCCAATTATGATATAATCACATTTTAATACTTGAATTGTAGGAAATATTAATGATAATGTGCAATATTTTTGACCACTAAGCCACTCCATTGCCTCTTCAATTGGTCTAAAAAGTTCGATTAATTGATCAAGCAAGTCCCATTCCCATGATTTTAAGAACTGTTTTTTAATATTTCATGGTCTTTTTTTGCCTCTCTATTAGTTTCTAATGAAAGCTTAAAGATTACATGCTTTATAGAATTTTTTAGTTCTTTTAAATATTTCCAAGAAGCTAAAGAAGATTCTCATCGAGTGTTGCATTCATTGATAGTTCTTAAGATTCTTAAGAGTCTATAAACTACTTCATCTGTAGGATCAGATAATGTTTGATCTGTCGATAAAATTTGATCGGATGAAGTTTGACCAGATGTCGAATTATTCAAAATTAAGTTGTGATCATTATAGTCAGTACTTTCATATCTTTTTAATTGATGTTGCACTTCTACTAATCTTTTATTTTGTTTAGGTGAACTGAAAAACTTATTCAAATGTTTGAATCTTTTTATATATGGATAGATTTTTTGTAAAGCTTTAACTACACATAGTTGAAGAGTATGTGCCGTACATGGTAAGCATTCAACACTCTTCCACTCACGAATTGCCTTTACTATATTAGAACCGTTGTCTGTAACTACTATTTTAACTTTATTACTCAAATCTAAAGATGTAAGTTTAGAAATAATAGTGTTACGAATATGATCTCCCATGTGGGGATATTTGATAGGCTCAATGCAAACAAGAATATCATATAACTCCATTTTATCATTTAACCAATGGCATGTTATTCCAATATACCCCTCTTTAGCACACAATGTCCAGAGATCTACTGTTATAGCTGCAGTATTACATGAATTACTGATTAATTCTTTTATTGCCTGAAATATTTCTTGGTAACCAATGCCCAAAGCTTTTTTGATAGTTCTATAACATGGCAAGCAAAATGCTGGATCTAATTTCTTTATTATTTTTTGAAACCCTAACCTATTTATGGCATTAAAAGGTTGAGAATCTATTATTAACCATTCTGTAACAGCATATAAT